ACCCATGTTTGTCTGAATTGGGACATTGAGTGTGGAGAGCTCCACATCCTTCCAGCGAGCCCCGTAATCATCACTACACCAATATGTTATCTGGCGTATGTGTGCAGCACGAAAATATTCTTTTAAATCAGGAAGCGACATTCCTCCTTTCTCCTTAGTAAGCTGTGAAGTGGTGTATTGTACCCCAGACAAATCTAGATATATACTTATCCCATTCTGAGAGTTGGGTGTGAGGTATGCTTATTGGAAGAGAGAGGAGTAAATATAGCAATCGCGGTAAGATATTCATCTTTATCACATCCTGTCACTAAATCCTAACAGATATGTATTCCATCTTTCCATATCCTGCCTTATCCTGTTATTTATATGTCCATAGTTACTTTGATATAGTTTGGCATAGTTTTTAGTTATATTTATTCCTAAATATTTAGTTTTTGCCTCCCACTTTATTTCTCTTTCCTTAAGATTTTGAGTTGGTGTACAATTAAACATTAGAACTTGAGTTTTATTTACTTTGTAGCCAGAAAGCGTAACAAATTTTCCTAACATTTCTGTGAGCTGCATAAAAGAGTTCGTGGGGTTTTGAGGGCTATCAACACGTCATCAGCAAACAGACTAATTACATGCTCTTGTTTATTGATTTCTATTCCTGTTATTAGGGAGTCTTGTCTAATCATTTGTGCCAATGGCTCAATATACAAGGCAAATAAGGTTGGACTTAAACAGCAACCCTGTCTAGTTCCTCTCTCTAGCTGGAATGTCTTTGTCAATGAGCCGTTAACTTTTATTCTGCAGTCGGTTTAATAATAATAATAATGATGGATTGCATTGTTTGTCACAGAGAGATTTGATACATTGGATTGATTTTGTAGTGAACCCGAACTTTGCCATGGTTAGGTACAGGAAGTCCCAGGAAGTCGATCGAAGGCTTTTTCTATGCGTTACTTATCAACGCAGCCGGTCTTTATGTATTTGGTGTATGATGTGTCCTTCTGATATTGTCTTGTGCCTGTCTGTTTTTAATGAGACCTGCTTGGTCCTCATCTATCAAGTCTGCTATAAACGACTGGAGCCTATTTGATAGGATTGTAGTATAGATTTTATAACATTTAACACTGATACAGGCCTGTGGTTTTGGCAGTATTCTCTCTGTTTTTGTGGTTTTGGCAGCACCGTGATAATCGCCTCCCTCCAGGAGGAGAGAATCACATGTTTAGTGTGAGTCCAGTTAAGAGTCTGGTGGAGTAAGGGTATCACTTCTTTTTTCAAATTGCTTGTAGCATTCGGCAGGAAACCCATCACTGCCTGGTGCCTTGTTTGTTCGTAATTTTCCAGTCGCTTTCTGAATCTCCTCTGTCGTTATTGGTGCTGTCATGAGATCATTTTGTATTGTTCCAGTAGAGGGTAGATCTAAAAATGTTTTAATATCATTTAGGTCATTATTAGTAGATACAGGTCCTTATAATAATCGGTAAAGATGCTTTCTATCTCTTCTTGGTTATGAGCCATTTGTTCTGTCTTAGAATTATATAATTTATTGACTGTTGTTTTTGTAAACGTCTTGC